AAACCTACTCTTCATAAATATTATTTATATATTCTTATTCATATATTCGAAATAATTGTTGTACTATATGACGATATTGTGAGACCTAAGAGCATAATTTGGAGTTTACTCATTTTCAAGCTCAAAAACGAATATAAAAGTTAAGTTCAGTGTGGTCATAAACTTATCGAAATGACTTAAAATATCTATTTTTGTGTTCATTAAAGCTAACTTAGATATCGATATATTTACTTTACGAAAGCTTTTCCGAGGATATTGCCCATTTTTTAGTACCCAGCTTCTATTCTTCATCTATCAATGCAGATTGTTCAGAACGTTTCCCGCTAATTGCTGATATGCTGTTATAATCTAAAATATCTGTATACTAATGACATTGGGAAGTATGTGTATTTGTTGGCCAATTTGGTAAGACTACAATCATTTTCGGGTGTCCAATATATGGGTATTTAGTTAATAAAACTTACAATTCATATTCAAGTTACACGCTTCAGGAACATACGCACGTAGCAAATTCTATTATTCACGTGATTCTGAGTTTCTCATGCATACTACCTTAGCATATTACACTTTGTGCTATTAATGAAAGAATGGGAAGGAATACTGAAGTTTGTAAGACTTTGTGCTATTAATGAAAGAATGGGAAGGAATACTGAAGTTTGTAAGACCAAGAATGAAACGTGGAAGACCCTGTAAAGTATATATGCTGAATCGATTTAGCCATGTCTGCCAATCTATATGTACGCTAACTAGTCCATTCGTTTTTAAGAAATTGATCTGAAATTTTGAACACCTCTTTTTCACCCCAGGAAGCTTCTCATTTATCGGAACTGCCGATATGGGACAAACTAATCAGTCAAGTAAAAGTTCTTGTATGGGAACATTTTTTATTTCACAAGCGATATCTTCACAAAATTTGATATGGACTGTTATACAAGATAATGCTACTAAACTCCGAACATATTGTTGAGATCGGACCACTATAGTATTTAGCTGTCATACTGAGGAAATTATTTAACTACATACATATATACTATTTTCTTTAATAATAAATTAATAGTATAATTTTATTAAATTTTATCAATATTTAAATTATTTGTTTTTTAGGTAAGTCGTAATTACATTTCGTATATATATATGAAGCGTTTACCATTGGGATTTGAACGAACCAGCATACAAACCCAAAGAAAGTGATATTTTACTTTTTTATGTGCACCTTTAAAATGAAAAAAAGTTAAAAAAAAATATTTTTGTAAATGGAAAAGAAAAACATTTTTGAAATTCTGAAAAAAAATAGTTCCACAGAACCTACTAAGTCATTTGACTATTATTTTTGATCATTTCAGTCACCCATTTTATTCTTTAAATAAATATCCCTATTTATATTTAAAGTTTTTTTAATACTATTTCTAATTCTTAGAATATTTCCCCGTATTTAAACAAAAGGCATGTAGTTTAAAGCTCAAAAATATACAATAATTTTCATGATTAGTAATTACTGCTCCTGTAGCTTAACCATCGGTTTCAGACCTGCTACCCTCCTTCCATTTCCGAACCTTTGTACTATACATAGTCCACTATCAATCATTAAAGCTTTAAAGATAATATTTTTAGAATTATTTTATCATTACAATGATCTAAGCTATCTCCAACCCCCCAACTCATACCACAAACTAGTTTGCCCAACTATAGTTTGCGCAAGTTCGCTTGTCTACATGCATTTATGGTACTACAATTTACTTAACTACTCTACTTAGACTACGTGACAGCAACTGCTTGCCACTGACAATCAATGAATGCGTCGCCGGCACACACGCGTCATTGCCACTGAAGACATCCGACTGGCGTACCTTACGCAGCGTCAGCGCTGCCAATTACTGGCGTTCGAAGCATATTAATTATTGATTAACTTGAGCTTGGAATATGACGCGTCGCTGCAACTTTATGACAGACATAGCAGTTGTCTCATCAATTACTAAATCCATGAAATAAAATCTAGAATATTTATGCGCGGCGTTGCCGAGTCGCGCGTAGCAATAACTTTGTTGGAATTTCTGGCGTTGCAAATGGAAATAGTTACACGTCGCAGAGATTACATTTAATTAGCTTTCGATTTGGCTGCTTGTAATACTTACATTCTAACTCCGATTACTTCCAAAGTGCTGTAGACGCTTGACAGTGTGGCCACCTGCTGGGTCAAGCTTATGCCAATTGGAGGTTGGGGTGCTAAATATAATTTAATATCGCAGCGATGTCGCTTTTTGAAGAAAGTTGAAGTAAAGCAAATAAACGTAGAACTAATTTTGTTGAAAACTTTTTTCTCACTGCCAATATTCCCTTTGACCATTAGTAAATACAGCTTTTATTAATTTGAGAGCGAAATTTTTTGTAATTCGTTGATAGTTTGCAACCTTCTGCTAACAAAAAAGATGATTTGTGGATTCGGTGGCTATGAAATGATAGGGATCATAGTTCGTGGTTAAAGGGCGATTAGTTGGTTTGAGTGTTCAGCTGGTTAAAATGGTTTATGGTCACCATTCCATCTCCACAACTTTTTCTATTTGACTAAACTTTTTTTATGCATATCATATGTAATACAATTATATACATATATCCATAGCACTATTTATTTGAAGCAATAATTCGACTTCCTAATAATGAAAATATACCACCGTTATACATAAGGGTAATATTGCAGTACGACATTTTGTCGCTTATTACCTGAACTTCGTGGATAATCGCTTTGATAACAAAAAAGGAGAGGGATTTTAGGCCTACAAACCTTTCTTACAGAAGGGTCGGAGACTTTATAAAATATATAATTAAATGATCAGCATGATAAGCTGAGTCGGTTTAGCCATGTCCGCCTGTATATACGCGAAATTTGGCACTAGTCTTTTTCACTCGAACAAGTTGCTCATTTGTCGGAAACGCCGCTATTGAACCACAGAGCTTATATGGTGAGATATCTTTCCGAAATATGGAACGGATTATTCTCCAAGACAACGGTACAATCTCTGCGAAAATTATTCAGATCGGACTACTATAGCATATAGCAGCCAATCGAACTGACAGATCCGAAACAAAATAAATATAATCATAAATAATAATTTTTCTTTATTAAGAAACCTTAATACGACCTCTAAAGTTATTTATATCAAACAACGTTGTTAAACAGAACTAACAAAATGTTTTCAGTTGAACGCAAGTTGTTGGTCGGTTATTTTTTCAGACTAAGCATATAGTTGCTTTAAGGATTAAACCGGTACATATTTTTATATTTGTATTGAAGCCAAACTAAATTTTTTTTGGTTTTCAAGAATTTGTAAAAAGTTTTACATTAAAAGTAAACATTTTTCTATTTTAAAATAATACCGTTAATTATTAAAAAAAAAACTGATATATCCTCCTATAAATATTACATAAAGCAGAGTACTTTCACTAATGCCAAAAATAAAGTGGTAAATTTCATCGAAAGTTAATCGTTACAACAACAAAAGCTGGTTATGCTGATAAACAATAAGAAAGGCTAAGCAAAGTAAAGTGCTAAACAACCATAAAGTCTAGCGTGAAACTTGTGAATATGTGAGCAAAATGCGGCTACAATTACATAACAATAACTACAAGCAGCACAGCACTTTTGGGAAACCGACAAGCAGCAAATCGAAGCAAATAAATATTACAGCCATGATATTTGCAGCTGTTGGCTGTCGACTCCCTCCAACGAGTAGTTGTTGTGGCTTTTGTCTATCGCTTTGACTCCTACATATGGCCAACTATTTCATATTGTATTTGTCTAGCGACACAAACGCCTAACACATCCATTTTCCGGTCTCTCCTTGCCGCTGCTTCGCACACCTTCTCTAAAACGCTTTGCACAAATGAATGAGTGACTGACTAGTCGGCCGACCAGACTGACTGGCTTAGCAGGCGGCGAGTAAAATGAGCCATTACAGCTGCAACACAGCGCACAAATAAATTTCCAATGATGCGGCATTTATCTGACCAACACGCACACCCCCGCCTGCTAAACTTACTTTCGACTTTGTTGTTACTTGCTGCTCAACTCAACACCTCCAAATAAAAGCAGATATTTCTTTTTTGTTTTTGTTGCAGTTTTGCCTCAGTTTACAAAGCTTAATCATAGCCGTCCGCCTCCATGCACACCCTGTTGCCCAAGGATAAACGTTTGAGGAATCTTTTATAATTCATTCAGCGACTTCGGACTCGGGCTTGGAGGCTGTTGTTGCTCCTACGTTTCGTTTTCAAGAGCATGAATCTTTTGCTTTGCCAGCTCTTGCTTGCTTTCCTGTGCTTTCCTTGACTTAAAATATTCGTCTACATCTTCCACATTGTTACATTTGTTGTTGCACTGACTCCTTTGTTAGCTTACGGCTTATTGTCTTTGTTGCCGCTATCTTGTTATTGTTGTATTTGTACTTATATTCGCACTCACACAGTTGTATTGTAGTTTGTAGTTGTTGTTGTACTCCGTACTTGTCTACCGCCTTTGCTCGTTGTGTTAGGTTTTGTTTCGAGTCATTTGTTTTGATCCCTGCAGTCATTTGAGGGACGGTCCATCTTGTTTTACACGTTCTCGGGCAGCACCGTTTATATCGTGGTTCATTGTTGTTGTAAATAACGTGAATTTCGTTGAATCGATTATAGTATATTGTTGTTGTATCGAGAGGAGCCAGTATTGCAACGCTAACTGGCGGCGCTTCTTTTACTAATCTTTTCGCTTTGTTTTTGTTTTCGTGTTGACTCTTCGGGGGCAGTTTGGGTTGGTTATACGAAACCAAAGTCATTTAGCTGCTATTGTACTTTCCTTTAGTCCCATACGAATGACAGCCAAATGAAATTTCGTATGTATTTCATTGCGACACAGTGGGTACCTTAACGTAGTTTGTTTAAAAGAAATTTTTGTTAAGAAAATTGTTGAAGAACACTTCTTAACTTTGCAACAAAAATATTTTGTATATTCAATTCTCTCTTTGACCTATTTAAAATTAGCAAATTATCTAACAAAGCATGAAGAAGTGAAATAAGTGATAAAAATAAAATTTAAAAATACTTTTCTGGTAGCACTTCCTAAGATACATTGCTCGCGAATTTTGGTTATATCAGTCTCGGCTCATTTTTTGAGCTCCAGTCGCTAAATTGTTGCAAAGTTTCGACGTCGTATTCATAAGCCTACGTCTCATCACCAGTAATGATGCGTTTGATGAATGTATGGTTCGCAGCCACGTTGTCAAGCATCTCTTTTGAGAACACTACTCGTCGTCGTTATGAAAAAAGATTCTGATATTTTGGTACGAGTCTAGCATAGACACGCTTCATATCTAAAACATTCACCAAAATGTATGGGGTCGATCCATAAGTGATGTTGAAATCCTCTGCTATCTCTCTGATGGTTATTGGTTTTCAAGCTCTGTTTCTTTACCTTTTTCGATGTTATCGTCATAATCTGAAGTGGATGGACGACTGACATGACTGATATTCTGCATTTGAAACGATTCCGTAGCCGTGGTTCGATAATAACTCAAACAAAAGTTTCGAAACTTCAGCACCAATTTCGGGCAACTTTAAATGGTGGTTGTATAAAAGAGGTCTCGTAAACTTGCAGACCTAAAATTATATAATATTATCCCATATGGAAACTTAAAGCTTCTTTATATGACATATCCAGATATTAAGAAATCAACTGAATCGGATCCATTGGAATAGAACCTTTGCGTATTCAGTGCTGGGTAAATATACAAAATTAATTTAGCGATCGAAACAAATGCCTCCAAGTTTTCATCCATCGTATTCAACAAAAAGTCGGGTTTCAGTCCTAGAAAGAAATATAGACAATTAACTTGCGACTATATGCAAATATGAGCTATTAGAGAACCGGAATTTAAGTGTCTGCATGATTTAAATCGTAGTTCTCAAAACCCTCGTTGACAACCATGGAACAATCATTCTAATTAGAACTAGTCTAAGAAGCGCAGATTCGTTTGAAAGAGGATCTTCAATTTGTCACATGTTGACACAAAACCTTGGTCATAATGCCATTGCTCCAACTGCTAAATAGAGATGTCGATTTTTGGTGTATAGGTATTATTTGATCGAGAGAAAGTTTCCATTTGCTCATGTTACTTGATGAGAAATGACTTCACTGAGTTTCCTAACCAAATAAATTAAAAATTACAACAACACAGGCAATTGCATAAGTACTTTTCTTCAAGAAATTTTATTATTCTCCTCTAAAATTATTCACATACTCACTAAATTTTTATGATAACTTTATGCTATACTTACCCACTGTAAATTGCGCAAATGACTTCGCCGCTTGGGCCCATCACCAGCTATTCGTCATTCAACAGCTGAAATTCGGATAATTTCTTAAGTCATCACAACATGCAACAACAGAAAAAACAACAACAACAACGTAACTAACGAGATATCAATTCCAACGTTACAACAACAACGGACGCTGCAATAACAATAAAGAGAAGAGGAAAAGAAGCGGAAAGCAACAGAGCTGCAAAGCATTTTAAACAATAATGAAAATAGCAATAACGGTAGACATCGCGCACAGCACATACGAATACAATGAATGGCAACACCTGTGCTGGACACGCGCTTTGGCAACACAACAAGTCAAATGTTTGTTTGTGCAACATCATCACCGTGGAAAACGTTGTTAAAATCCGAAATGTAATGGAGAGTTTAATGCATGAAGGGTGGTACCCCGGGGTCCTTACATACATACAAATGCCATGTATAAGCCAAAAATGTACTACAATAGTGATGATGCAGGCGGTTTCGTATGGCAACTGGTCGTTTGGCTCAATGCTTGACTTAGCTCCGTTCGACTGACTGGCTCTCGTAGAGACGCTTCAATGCACCGCCATGCTGCCAATAATTCTCAATTTTCATTTCTCATAACAATGCGATGCTAGATGCTGGAATCCAATTTCACAACAACAGTTTTTGTCGCTTTTGTATGCGTGGCGCGCGCCGTAAAAGAACGCTGAAGGTGTGTGTTTCTGTGTATGAGCTTATACGTGTGTGCTTAGCTTCTCGAGTATGTCTGCGTAATGTGATATGTATGCTTGGAGGTACGGCATGCAATTACCAAGCAGTAATAGCGATCGTTGAAACGACTGGGCGTGACAGTATAAGGTACAAATCAACGAAGCAACGAATTAGCGAATACACAAGTAATTGGCGAAGAACGAAAAGTTTTCTTTTGGTGAAGCATACTTTTTTGCGTCGATGCGTATGGTTTAAAATAAAGCATATTTGAGCTAAAAAGAGAGTTCGGTTTAGTGTAGTTGATAAAAGTGTGTTGCACCGGTGACGTTCGCTGAATTGATGCTCTGTGGTCTAATAATTCACCTAATACACTATTTTTTATCCACTGAAGAACACTTGATGTTATACCAATATGTTTGCTAAGGAATGCATTAGACTAGAAATATATTCCATAACACACCAAATTTAGTTTAGATAAATTCTCTAACTATAATATTGAGTTTTAGTGAAGCATAGCTTTAGGCGCACACAGAACAAAATGACATTGATGTAAACCCTTTGAAAGTAGTATTAAGGGGCAAACTAAGTGTGCCAGGAATTAAAAAAAAAAAATTTAGTTTTCAATTATTTCAAAACTTTAATTTTTTTGTTTTATTTATGTATATATTATATTAAAAATATACAGTAAAATTTTTTAAGGAAAAAATTAATTTTTTCGACTACCACTGCTGCAGTGATTCCGGACTTCTCCCAAACAAAACCTGAAAAAACGTTAACTTCGGTTTCACATATAAAGAAGTTTCTATACTAGAACTTGTTTATCGCTCAGTTTGTATTGCAGCTATTTATGCTATTTATAGCGTTGCTTTGGGCAATAATCAATCTCGAATTTCGTGATGATATCTTGTCAAATAAAAAAGATTTTCCTACCGAAACTTAATTTTTAACGTTCAGTTTGTATGACAACTATATGATATGGTGGATAAGTGTGCAAAATTTCAAGGCGATATCTCGAAAACTGAGGGACTAGTTCACGCATATATAGACAGACAGACGAACATGGCTAAATCAACTTAGCTCGTCACGCTGATCATTTACTTGTGTATACCATATATATAAGGTTGGCCGTTATTTCCCTTCCGCTTTTTTGCTCTTCATTCAATGCTTTATAAAAAGTGTTACAGTGATCGGATTTAGTTAAAATATGCACCGTTTTGTTCGATGATCTGTTTCCATCTAGACGGCAACTTCATAATACCTTCCTCGTAGAAGCCCCCCTCCTTATTTGCGAAGAATTCGGACAGCCACTTTTCACAAGCCTCTTTTGAGTTCAACTTCTCACCACCAAGGGCATTCGCCATGGACAGGAACAGGTGGTAATCACTTGGCGCTACGTCCGGGCTATATGGTGGATGCGATAAAACCTCCCATCCGAGCTCCCGTAGCTTCTGACGAGTCATCAACGAAGTGTGTGGTCTGGCGTTGTCCTGATGGAACACTATACCCTTCCTATTAGCCAATTCTGGACGCTTCTGGTCGATCGCCTGCTTCAAGCGGTCCAGTTGTTCGCAGTAGATGGTAGAATTAAGCGTCTGGCCATATGGGAGCAGCTCATAGTGGATGATTCCCTTCCAATCCCACCAAACACACAGCAAAACCTTCCTGGCCGTCAATCCCGGCTTGGCCACTGTTTGGGACGATTAACCGGCCTTCGACCACGACCGTTTTCGCTTGATATTGTCGTATGTGATCCATTTTTCGTCGCCGTCAAATTATGCGGTACCCAAACATCAAACTTTTTTTTGTATCCAGCCTTTTGCAGATGGTTCAAAATGGTTTGGTGACTAACTCCCATCTCCCGGCGATGTCACGAGATTTGATCGGTATTTGTCGTCACAGGTCTTCCGCCGGCTGGCTTATCCATGGTGTCGTTTTCACCGGCTCTGAATCGTCGAAACCATTCCTCCGCGGTTCGAAGTGATAGAGTACCATCCCCCAAAACACCATTAATCTCTTTAAAATAGCGCGAATTTCGGCGTTAGTGAACTCCATGTTTACACGTCTATAACTGTTGAACTGTTGCCAGATACGAGCTCTGTAGCGCTTTGTACATAGCCGCGAAATTCAAAAGACAAAAAAAGCGGAAGGGAGATATTTGACAACCTTATATGTGTACATTTCCTTCTGAGTGTTACAATATTCGTGGCAAACTTAATACACCCTGTTCAGGGCATAAAAAAATCCTACTAGTAGGTAACATATTGTCCGTAGAATGACCAAAGAAAAAAACTCAAAAATTTAAAAAAATGGCAGCACTTTCTGTCTTCACAAATTATTTTAACCCAAAATTTTGGTCAGATGTAAAAAAATAGTAGATGATTATATGGAGAAGTATATACAGAACGTGCGGAAAAAATTGATGAAAACACGTTTAAAGATAAACTGATAGAGCTGATTGAACTTAGCGACATTTAGCAAGTTATATTTCAAAAAATAATTGAGATATCGATTTAAAATATGAAAACAAATAATTTTTTTTTTAGCTACACCTGAAGTTTGCCTTTTAAACCGGGTCGTTGAGAGAAAATAGGATCCTGGGGAGGATATCGGGTAGCTGTCTCCAGATTCATTTACATTATACCTGGCATTCACAAAGCACCTGGCTCCGCTGAGAATATCGGGTCTTAAAAGAATTGCCCCAATCTAATTTTTTTTATAAAAACTCCCTCGTTTTTGAACTCTAAATAAGAATTAGTGTAATTTCGAAAAATAAGGCGCCTTGACTACAATTATAAAGTATTACAAAGCTCTGAATATTATAAGAGGTAAGGATATTAAGTGGGCTTTGCCAATAGCTGATATCCAACTGCACGAATTTTTCATTTGGCTTCACAAAAAACTCTATATAACAGTAGAAGAGGAATCACCCATCTAGTATAACCTATAGATAGTAAGGATAGGTCAGTTGCCTATACCGTTAATTGTCAAATAGAGTCTGCTTTGAAAATGTGGAAATTTTTTTTGACAGACTTGTCTATTTAATTTCCACTAAACCATGGGTCAAGATCTAAGTTTCTGACTAGAAGAATTCATTTTTAAGCGCTTAAGGTATTTTTCCAAACCAGACTTGCTGGTAACCATTATAATCATCAGTGCTGGACCAGATGTGCTATAAATTTAATCCAAGACAACAGTGTACAATGTGCAATACAGGTGGATCGGATGATTTTATACACCTCATCAATGACTGTCCACTCTACAATCCATACCGCCTTTTCTACCTGAAGAACGATAATTCCTCGGTTCTCAAAGCTATGGAAATATTAAATAAACATGATATTCATTCAATTAAATACCTTTTCTATTTTATACAATATTGCTGCCGGCTCAGAGCCTTTTGCCTCTGCGAATAATTGTATATTAGATTTTACTGTCTCACTATTTTTTATTTATTTTAAATTTTAAAATTAAAATTGTTTTTTACTTTTTCTAACCTATTGTACGAATATTGTTATATATTCTGGAACAATTATTAGATTTATATTTAATAGAGAGACTATAACTAGTATTACAACTAGTAGATTAAAAAGTTCTTATATCGAACTGCTAACTACTATTCGGTATAGATAACTCCAATAAATCGATAGATCGATTATAGCGATTCTAGAACTTAACGATGTCATTTAAAGTAGTAGAATTTATATTTGACTTCATTATAAACCTTGGTTTGAGCGTTTATCGTTACATTGAAATGAAACGTATTTCCAGCGATAGTTCTTTTGAGGACTGGGATCAATAAAAAGTCCTCGAAGAGTCAGTTCCGCAGAACATGGTGGATTGGTGATTAATTCTAGGCTCAATTAAAGACTTTTACATTCAGCTGGCATGTAAGCGTGATTCCTAAAACTCATCAGCCCTGCAGAGGAAGCCCAAAACATGTAGAAACCTCAATTTGTCGGCTAACAACAATAAACACACACAAGCCTATATTTTAAATCTCTTACCAAGCAAAATTGCAAAAAGTAAGAAAAATCTCTAAAAGCTTTGCTCCGTTGACCAAATATCAGAAATGTTAGTCTACTTTTCGGCGCTATGCCATTCTGACGCTTACCGCCACATCAGCAGTCGCACGTTTATTACTCGCCTAGGAAATAAAAAGTGATATACGCGCGACACAGAATGAATATTAATCGTTTCGCCTTGTTTGCCTCTGCGTCGTTTCGCATTGCCGAATCATTACCGTTTCATTGCTTTACCGTTTGTTTTTGTTTCCAACTCCTCAGTCAGTTTTTACAATTGTTGCTTCGCAGCATTTTTCGTCGGTTTTTTTATATTACTCGAATTC